TCGCGCGTCACAGAATGTTCATGGCACGCTCCCCGTTCACAGTAACCAGGTCGCCTCATTTAAAACAGCCAGCTGTTGCTGTCAGCGAGCCGCCGCATATAGACACCCATATGAGTCAGGCTGCGATTGTAAGTCACGTGCCCACCCCAGCGCGCTCACGCTTGTAAAACGTCATTGTAAAACGATCCCCATTCAATGTAATCGAGGCGTTACGTGCGAACCAGCCCAAAGCGGCTGTCAGGGAACGCAAAAGATTTGAAAAAAAAAAATGTTCCCATCCTAAAACTTTTTCCACCACCTTGTCCCTTTAGGGGCTCCGTAGCATACTGTTCATTTTGAGCAATGATTGCACATGTACTGCCACACATTGTCAAAAGACATGTGTCGTACTGTGCCAACATTTTTTCCAGTCCAACTGTAAGACTGGTGTAGACACCACTCTTAATAAATTCACCTTCAACCACATCAACATCACCACTGACAAAGTCACCATATTGAAACAGAATTTTTTTATATATTTTTTTTACCCCATAAAAAAACGTGTTAAGTAAACAAACTCACTTTTGAAGGGTTAAACTAACCTTGGATTTGTAAAAAAGAAACCTCAACATCCTGTGAAGTGTCAATAAAAATAACATTATTTAATCGAAACTCACCGTGTGTAATGTCTTCAAATTGTTATCGTCGTTGTTGTTGTTGTTCTCGTTGTTCTTCTTGTTGTCTTGAAATATCAGAATAAGGCTTGAAATATCAGAATAAGTATCTCGAGTTGTGTATCTCTGTATTTGCTGAAAGCAAAAGGGTTTAAATAGCTTACAGAGTTTGGTTTTAACCCAGCAAGGAGCATCCTTTAAAAATTTCAATTTTAAAAGATGCTCCTTGTTAAATTCAGACAAATTAAGTCATGTTTAGCCTGTAGTTGATATTTATGCACATATTTCGCTTGAATTATAGGCTACAGATTATATTAATTTAATAATTATTTACAAGTAAAAAAAAAAAAGATGTTAAACCATATAACACTATTAGCCTACACGTGTAGGCCTATTGAACATTTTATTTATATTGAAATATCCGAAATAAAACCATTCCAATCAAATCACACTTAAGGTCCTATCTTACACATGCCAAGTATTTAAAATAAAAGGATTACAATGTAAAAGATTATTATTGTGTACGTAAAGATATGGTGGAATCCGGCTTAGTCTGCTCACGCGCTTTTACCTCACACACGAGCAGGGCTGGGTTTCCCAAAAGCATCGTAAGTTAAGCAGCACTTGAAAATCTTCGTAGAACTACGAGTGCTCTGGAGTAGCCTAGTCTAATCGTAAATCCCCAAATGCATCCTAAGAAGACAGATTTTTGAGGTCACCTGCACCTGGTTTTGATTGTCCTTTATTGTACACTTTACTGTACTCGTTTGTTGTTTAAATTAATTTATAAATGAAATAATTAAAAAGGAAAAAAAAAATAGAAATACACATCTAAATTAAATGAATGAAGAAAAAATCATAAAAGAACGAAGTCATTTGGGAAATATGCTTCAAAGACTGGGCAAAATAGGGATGAATTAAAAAATAAATCTGTCAATGACTTGTTGACGTGCACGAAAACCAGCCGTATTGGGCATTTCTTGAACTTCCTTCCCTGATCTTTGAACAACCCTGGTTTCAGTTAGTTTGCAATGTCCACCCAGATGTTTTGTTTTTCCTCATTTTTATGGTGTTCTTTAAATATGTTTAAAATAACATATTTGTTTCACTCTATCTCCTCTAAAATTAGGCCTACATTAATTTCATCTTTTTGAAAGGTGTCTTTTCTTGTTTGTTTTTTTGTTCAGCCATTTTGTCAGTGCCTTCGCCTGAATGTAGACTTGTCTTGCTTGCTAATCAACAACAGATGACTATTATTAGGTTAAACGTTCTGAATACGATTCCATATAAGGTTATATTTCAGCACTTCGCGAATGGACAGCGACTCTTAAGTAGGCTAGCACGTAAAAGTAGGCTAGCACGTAAAACGCGTTCATGTTAACTGCATTTTTGGGAAACGCGTGTGGAATTGCGGCGAGCCTTCGTAACCTTGCACGTAGAGAGCGCTCTTTAGAGCTAAGATCCATCGTTATCGGAAAACCCTGCCAAGTTCAGTTTGCGCTCCATTTTTTCCAATAACTGGTTTTAGAATTGCTTCAACGATTCACTAGTTCGTTAATGTAATTACCAGTGTTGTGTAAGTTACTTCCAAACTGTAATACATTATATATTACTTGTTACTGTTATTTAAAAGGAATTCATTGCAATATTACGGTCTCAGAATTGTAATGCGTTACATTATTCCTGCATTACTTTTGAGTTACTTTCACCAAAATTGCTATACAGAAGTAGAACTTAACATTCTAGGGCTGTAACGATATGCACTGAAAAAATGGCAATGGGGAGATTGTTGAATTTGCCTAAATGCATTTCTTACATGATTATTTTATGTTTCTCATCTAAACATATTTTAGTCTTGTGCCATTCATTTAATGTTGAAGGATGTTCAACCTTTTAGAATGTATCATGTTGAAATGAAAGAAATTAGTTATGTTTTCTCTGGAAACTCCGCCCCCATGGGAACACGCAAAGGAAATTCAGTTAACGCTCAGCTCGACACTCGCCCGTCCGCCATTTTCTCTCTCGCTTTGGAAGGTGGAAGCTGCAAGTTATCGTGGAGGAACGCTACAGTCTGAAGGTAATTAACATTTTGAACTAAAATGGCATTGAGTAACATTTAGTAGTCCTTTTGAACTTATTTTCACTGAGGGAACGTTTTTATTATAAGTTACCTTACTGATTTGAGGGAAAGGCAAAAGTTAGGCCTAGTGCAAATGTAGGTAACGTTAAGTTAGTTAACGGTATAGTATCCAGTTTAATATCATGACTTGCATTAACGTTTTTCAAATTGTGTACAGTCATTAAGACATTTATTCGTACGTTATTTGTTCTGTGTATGACAACTAATTCGCGTCAGGGAGTGCACTCAAAAAAATGATTTTTTAATGCTGTTCACTTTATATGAACAGTTAATTTCCATTTAACATCATTGTATCAGGTTTCTCTTTCAAACAGGATTGCATCATTTTTAAATAACTTGAAACAGTTACTCTTTGGTTTAACTCCATGTTATTATTTTGAAAGAACATGTTTCAATCAAATAAGTCAATCAAAAAGGGCAACTTTCATTTGACTTGATAATTTCTAAGTAAAATAAATTATTGAATTAAATAATTCACATGCTTTATTGAAATATTTTGTCTTGACTGCTGATTTCTTCACTGAATTATATTATTTTATAAGCGCAATGGAACTACTGTTTTGTTTTTGTTGTTGTTTTATTCGGTTGTTTGTCTTGCAATGATTTTAAAATTACAATGTATATAACCCCATTTTAAATTTAGGCCTATTTTGTGTTTGTCAAATTAACCACCTTACAGTTTTTGCATTAGGTTATTCTGCCTTTTACTGCATTTAAAAAATATAATATATCATAGTGATATTGTGAAACCATAAACTTTGTGATTCAATTGAATTCATAAATCATTTATAATAATTAAGCAAACACAGGAGAATATTGTTTGCACATGATGTCATGCTATGGCGCGAAATGCGATTTGTTTTTTCTACGGCTCAATCACTATCACTACTACAAACCAACGGCTCTGTCTACTCAAACTACCCACAACCGGTTTTAAAGCGGGAGGCAGCTCGTCGTGTGTTATTTGGAGCGCAAGCTGGAAACTAACAGGTAATTTTTTAATCTATTTGCATCTGTGTTATTAGAGTATTAGGTAGATATTTTATGATGTCGGTTGATATTGATGTATTTTATTACAAAAAATATTTGTATAATGGAGCCTTCTGAATTTAAATATAGCGTGAGGCCTTGAGGGATGCAGATAGTCGTCATTCTCTTGGTCGGCGTTACGTCACAAATCATGTGACCTGCATAGCAACAAGCCGCCGCCGTGTTTGAAGGGTAAAACAAACCGAAGGCAAAGCCTGAGGCAAATCAAAAAGGTATCTATTCACAGAAGTTTTGCTGTGGATTTTGTCAGTTATGGATACTAACGGACTACTTTGTATTAATGATGAATGATATCTGTGTATGTGAATGTATGTCGGTGGTGAGAAGTGAATTTAATAAAACACTCATGTAAAGTGCTTTGTGACTAGCTAACGTTAGCTACATGTCTGTGAAAGGCGCTAGCAGCTATACGAATACAGATCTTCTTCTTCTATTACAGAATGTCTTATCAATATATAGACAGTCTCCTAGCGCCTGCATTGACCAGGTACCACAGAAAGCTGTCGCTTGTAGGTTTACAATCTTGTCCCTATCGGCATCCAGCTGAGTCCTGAGAGAACAACCCAAAAGCATGGCCCAGGCTCGAGTATCCAGACATATACAATTACCTCATCAAATCCCATGGTATGAACACCATGTGTCCTACACTTGCAGTCATGTTTAAATACCCATCAAGCATCGATTACATTAACTATGTAATAGATTTTTTATTCATAAAAAAACAACAACAAAAAAACGTTCATTCAAAAGCACTGTGTTACAAAGTGGCTGTAATGAGCTCAGTCTGTCAGTGGCACAGCTTGTACAATGTCAGTGAGGGACACAGTTTTTTCAAAAAAGCCAAAAAAGGCTAACTGCATAAATGTATCTTATTCCCCACACAACTAGTGCATTTCATTGTTGCTTATCAGTGTAGAGCTGCCGACCATTATGCATAGCAATGTCATAACATAACAACAGAAAATTGAGTGGCCATCTCTGCAATGGTATTATTTTGTTATTCTTTGATTTGTACCTCAATTTGTCCATTCATTTGAGATTACATTTCTATTTAGATTTAAAGTAAAATGGTATGTGCCATTATTAGGAGGGGTTATTACCCCTCCTACTTCCTACGTCATCGTTTAGTGTTTGGCCAACGGCCAGGGTTCCGGTGCGTATAAGAGCATGAGCTACCAGTTCCTTGGCATGCGTCATTATCCGGGGTCGTGACGTCATCAATGCGCCCTGCTGCTTTCTGCTGGGTTCAGCGTAACGTGCTGCTTGTAAAATTTGCCGAAGCTGTTTATCCACTGGCGGTGCTGTTGACGGGTCTATGGGCTTGTTTGGAGAGTTGAATGTGGACATTTGAGACAGGTAAGAGAAGTATTCGGATGCGGGGTGGTTTATAGATGAGGTTTTATGGTTTGCTTTGATGAGGCGAGTAATCTGACTATCTGTATGCTTAGTGTACGATTTATCGGCGCTTCATGCCAACGAGCTTGTCGGAGACATTCGCCTCCATCTATCGCATAGTCTGGGGATGGTGATTCTGGGACAGCGTGGTTGGTTGTGAGTATACTGTTTGAGTGTAAGCCAAGGGAGAAGAACTCTCAGTGTAACACCTCTCTGTTTTATTTTTTAGGCATGCGATAAGGACGATACCGACCTTCTGAATGAGTATTATCTGCCCTGTGTTTCGCCATAAGACTTTGTTCGCGCTGTGCCTCATCAACTGCTGTTCTGTTTGGGTTCTGTTTTGTGTGTGCTGTTTTGTCGCGAGAGTCGTCTCGAGTGAACCGTTCAAGTGAACCATTTCAAGTGAATCGTTCTAAGTGAGCCATTCAAGTGAACCATTTCAAGTGAAGGATGGCTCTGTGTCTGTGATATGTTTTGAGTTTGTGTTTTCTTTTTCTGGTTTATTTCCTTAACTATTCGAGTATTTTTGAAGTCGTGTTTTGTTTCGAACCAAATTATCGTACTAGTGAATTTATATATATATATATTTTTTTTTTGTGGTTGAATTGTACTGCTGAATTTATGTGATTTGTTGTTATTTTTGGTTTTTGATTGGTGACGATCAGGTCGGGACCAAGGAGTTGGTTCCGCCCTGGAATTGTATAACAATTTTCATAATTTTTGTTGTTATTTTGTTTTGTATAACACTGCTCTTTAATGTCTTTTTTTCTTTTGTTTGTTGGCAGGGCCTGGGCACCCGGGGGCAGACGAGAGAGCAATTAGGTGGTAGTGTCCTCACTGTGTGTCGTGGTCTTCTCTGACATGAGTCGTGGAGTGTGTGCTGTGCTGGTGTGTGTGCACTGAATAGAGTACTCTTCATAGAGGTGATACCACGAGACTGCCCTTGGGTACGCCCAGGTTTCCCTGCTGCCCACTCTAGAACCTAGTAAATTGAAGAGTGTGATTGCTGGCCAACACCTTTTATAGAAAAAGAACTGCCTTTTAATAATTAATAAAATGTATATGTTTTTCAATCACCTATGCCTATGTCTCTGACTCCAACTGTGGTTAGGACCTGTGCGTGCCTTAGCTTAGAGCAGTGTTTCTCAAACTTTTTCTGCCATTCCCCACTTTGAAGGTAGGGAAGGGTTCGTGCCCCACCTGTCCTCATGCAATCGCCCCAACAAAATGTTAATAAACTAGGCTTTAAGTTAAAATGTATTTTATTAACATGACATTTTAAAAACATGAACATGACAGTCGATAAAAATAATAATGCAATTGTGTTCGTTTCTGAATTTGATGTTATCAGAGGCAAAATACAGAGAAAATAAAAGTGTGGACTAGTTGTGCTTTTTTACTATTTTGTCACTTCGCAAACTGCATGCAAAAAGAACAAACAAAATTGAAAAAGAATAATAATCTCAGGGTTTTTCCTGGCTCAAAACGAGGCGGAGGTGGTAAAATCCTAATAATGTTCGTGTTTTAGGTATTTTTATTATAATAATTGTATTTTGTATTTTTCGAAGACTATCATATAAGCTACTGTGTTTCCCACAGTATTTTGCGTGTGGTGTGGACCTCTGCACCCCAGGGGGGGTCCGGGGGCATGCTCCCCCGGAAGAAAGGTTTGTACGTTTTAAAGATAAATTCATAAATCTGGTGCACTTTGAAAGTTCAACATTAAGTGATTAACTAATTTAGTGTCTGCAATGAGCCTGTTTTGTAGTAGGTTACACATATTGTCTGAGCCAGAGACGGAGAGCGCTCACCGCTTGACATCACAACTATTCAGTGTTTTCAACCACATAATGTTTATTTTAGGTTTCAGACATTTAAATTCACATAAGTCCTAAAAAAGCAATACACTTAGAGTTTGTCAAATACACACTTATGTCTATGGAAGCGGCAATAATAATTATTTCCATTTTAATTAGACGACACGTATTATTCATATCAAATACACATCGTGTAAGTAACTTTCAAGTTTACTCTATGCTTCTCCCAGTTCACCGGCCACTTACTTTCATGTATTTCGGGAGAAGTAGATAAATTGACGTTTGTTAAATCCAACAGATCCGATTCTCTAAAATCCGGCATAAACTAATGCCCATCGCGTATAGCTCAACTAAGGTGTTTAAACAACAAAACGCATCCACTTGCTCATATTTGACAATCGGAATATCAGATATTTCCTGCTATAGCCAACAAATTTGTGAAATAAAAGCAGATAATCAGTCATTCAGCGCTATTGTGGCTGCGGTGTGACAAGCAATGACGCGTCACCATGGAAACCATAAAGGGATACGATCTAAATAACGGGCGCCTCTAAAAACTTTTAAACTTACGTGTGAAAAGGTTAAGTAAGGCTTACATTTAAATGTGTCGTTGTTTTGTTTTGAGTTTATGCTCAATAAATAAAGGAATTTATAGAGATGGGCACAAAAATTACCACATTTTCTCCGTTTGTCGCGCCCCACTTGTCATGTTTCCATTCCCCACCAGTGGGGCGCGCCCCACACTTTGAGAAACGCTGGCTTAGAGGTTATATTAAATTCTTGGGGCGAAATTCCCCAAGTGGTGTAGTCGGAAATAATAAACCGAATTGAGCGTGGGTATAAATTGTTGTTCCGCCCAATGTCATATAAAATAGAGCTGCCGCTCCCGCACCACTTTGCCACACCTATATTCACTTTTTGCATTAACCAGTCATCAGATTAAATTTTATTGAATGTAGTGTCTAACGACAACAGCTAGACTTTAACATTTGTAATGAGAAATTGTTTCTTAGACATTGTATAAGTTGTGAAATACTAAAAGGCGTGAAGATTGACATGAAAGCATTTGTATCATTTACTTGCAATTTGTCAGTGTTCTTGCTCTGGTTTATCGTCACTCGTCACTCTCCTAGATGTGAAATGTCCATGTATAAAAAGACCTCAATGAAAAAAAAAAAATCCCTTTCTTCATTTTCTTTTGTTTCAGGTTTATTTAATTCTGCCGCCATGGACAATTATAGATCCCTTGAAGCCTACAAATGTTTTTATGTCTGGACGGGTACAGACTGTGTATCACCAGAAAGTAGGTTCCAACATTCTGTTCAAGGCTGACGTGAAGCCTTCCTGGCGGGTCACGGAAGAGCCACATCACCCTTGGATTGCTGTCACAGTTGACGCACATGTTGTTGCTGCTCACTGTGACTGAGACCTGCTCTCATGTTGCAGCAGTTCTGTTTAAGATCGAGGCAGCTGTACGTATGGGATACACCAGTTCAGCATGCACAGACAAACCTTGTCAATGGAATCAGTGCTTTGTTAAGAAGCTAGAGGCAGCTCCTGTTTCCAAGATAAAGTTTTACAAGCAGGAAGCGAAGGACGAAGTCCTAAAAGCTCGGAGGAAGAAGGTGAATAACATTACATGTTCAACAGAAAGGCAGAGAGCCCTGTTTGTGCAGACTCTGGCAGATGACGATGACCAGTTGCTGGCCATTTCAACATATACAGATTATTGTCAAGTTGTAGATAGTAGAGACATAACTGCCAGTGTTAATTTACCAAACAGTTTAAGGACTCTTCATTCCGAACCAGAGCCGGCTCCAGACTGCGCTCAGCAGGGGGGCATTTATTTTCAATGGGTGGGCACTAGGTATGGGGACTTTTTTTTGGATATCAGATATCCTATATTTATTATTGCTACTGCCTTTTCTGTTAGCTGTTACCATGAAGTGATGCAACCCATACAATAAACACATAAACCATTACACATTGTTGCAAGACGTGCAACTCTTAAGAAATTTGATTAAATTGCAAAAAAATTTGCAAGACCGATTCTGACCACAGCTTTATTATAAACAAAACTAACGAACATGCACACAGTCTCTCACTGACAGGATATAGTTTAACTGCTATCTCACTGGCGGAAGAGAGAAAAAAAGCTACACATCTTTATTCTGCTTTGCTCTAACATAAGCGTTTACAGTAGCCTACTATTAAAAAAGCATCATGTAGTTACCTTTATCGTCAATCGACGTGGAAGGAGAAACTGTGGTTTTGAACCATTTTCTAATGTCCATTTTTGGAGAGTTTTCATCTATTTGCTTTGTTTTGAATGCCGCCAGGAATCTCGCGCCAACTGAAAGTCATTTGATTCATGTATTAACCTTAACGTGCGTGATTGGGGGGGCGGCAGGGGGGTTTCCTCACAGCGCCACACTGTGGTTTTATGTTGGCTTTATTATATTTTCAGCTAATGGGCAGTTTGTAGACATATATTTTTATTATTTCTCACTGAAATGTGAATTAAATTAAACTGATATTATTTTGTAAATTATATCATAATTCAATTTGGGGGGGGCATAATACCGCCGGCACTGTTCCGAACTATATGCAAATATGAGTGAATGTGACCTAAAGGACCTTTGTAAAACTTGGACATTGCCAACAATATCACCAGAACAACATGACTATGTGGAAGAGGCAACTCATGCTCAGTCATCTTCCTTAGTCTGGCATGAGCAACGTGCTGGTCGCATAACAGCCTCAACAGCTCATTTGGCAATGAAAGCCAGAGATAAGCCAACATCACTCGTCTCAAAAATTTGTAAACCCCAGTTGACCCCTATCAATGCACCAGCAGTCATATGGGGAAGACGACATGAGTATGTGGCATTCCGCCTGTACAAAGAGGCAATGACTGAGGGTACGTGCAACAGCATGAAAGTGTCAAAACAACACGTGTTGTGCACCACCAAAAAGTCTGGTCTTCATATTTCAAGGACATTAACATATCTTGCTGCCTCACCAGATGGCATTGTTGACTGCAAGTGTTGTGGACAAGGGGTAATTGAGATAAAATGCCCTTATAAGCACAAGGGCAGTCCCATTGTTGAAGCAGTACAAGATCAACACTTTTGTCTTGACCCGGAAATGAACATTAACCCTTTGCTCTTTTTTTTTTTTTAGCAATGCAAAATAAACTCAAACTGCTCTGTTAATTTTGATCTTTCATGTTCGTGTTATACATCAATCGATCCTGTTCAGTTTCTATTTTTTTCTGTATACTCACAATAAAAATAAAGTGTTTTGCTTTTGGCCAAATAAAGAAAAATGAACGTGATGCGAGTTCTTCACTCTCTCTGTCAGCGAACTCCAATTTGAAACGCGTTCGGAAATGATCTGTAACTCCACGAAAATTCAGTCAAACAGGAAAACATACCCACGGGCATAAAGCTAGAGATCGCATCTTTTAAATGAAGTCATTTATATTAAAAACAAATATTCTCAGCTTCTGTAATCTGTATGAAAATAGAGC